CTCCCTCTTAGCACAGGGAAAATTCACAACCTAAAACAAAGTCTAATGCATTTCCTTCCTATTACTTACGATTTGTAATCTTAGAGGCCTTTAGTTCAGATGTGACTTTGGGAGATGTATTTTCCCTGCCCTGGTTCCTCACTGACCTGGAGAGAACAAAGGAACACAAAACAAAAACCTTCCCCCATAGATTTGAAAGTATCTTCCCCCATTATTGGTCCTTTTGGTCAGGTGCCAACCAGGTTATCTGAGTTTCTTAACGCTTTCCAGGTAAAGGCGGGATTAACCCTTTACAGGGTAAAGAGGGATTTTTTGCTACCCTTAGCCATATGTTTATGACATGGGCATGGCTTGTGTTTGCACAGTGCCTATAACCCTGCTGGCTCCCCCACCCCAGCCGCCACACGAGGCAGGGAGGACTCCGTCCATCCGCTGGCACGGCTGCTGCAGGGGTGTGGAGCCAGCAGCACAACCGAGAGCCCAGTGTACCACGCTGTTTGCGTAGCAAGGTGGGAGCTGAACGGCGTAAGTCTCTTGAGTGACTGGCGTAGCAGTGGCATGGGGAGAAATGGGTCCATGTGGTGCTGGGCGCAGAGCAACCGCTGGCTGGACCGGTGGGACTGGGGAGGCAGCAGCGGGGTGCACTTTGCACCCCGGCCAACTCCGGGACTGCAGCTGTATTTGTGGGGCAGCTGCCTGGTGTCAGTCCCTTTAATCCATTGGGCTGCACCCCCTGTGGCTCAGGAGGTGGGTTCTGGACTAGCCCCTGGGGCTGCACCCTCTGGGGATGGGAAAAGGCAGCTGGATTCTGCCCCTTTAACATCTAGGGCTGTAGCCCCATGGATTGAGATGGGGGGAGGAAGGGGAGCTGGACTCAGTCTCAACCCCTGCCACTCCTTGCTCTATCCCCTTTGCTGATGCATTTGTGGGGAGGGTTGGCTGGAATCTGTCCCTAACAGTCCCCTCCAGAACTGCAGCCCCATGGTTGGGGACAGGGGAAACACCAGGACTCAATCCCTTTAACCCCCTACCCTTAGGGCTGCAGCCCCTTGGGCTGGGAGAAGGCGCCTTGCTCAGGTGCCTGCATTCAGCACCCACAGGGGAGTTGTCAGTGCCGGGAGAGACATTAGCTGAGCCCATGTTGGTGTGGAATGGGGGCAGGGAGGAGCTGGGCTCAGGGGGTGTAACCGGTGGGGGAACTGGGCACTGGAATGCCCTGGTGGCTCCCCTCAGTGAGTCCCCAGCTGGAGCTCGAGGCAGGATTAATCCCCGTAGCAGAAGGAAAGGTTGCGTGGGGGGGGGGGAGAGGGAGGGGGGAGCACATGGTTCACTGCAAAGTTTGAAATTTTGAGGTCTACAATAGGCTGAAAAAAAGCAACAAAGAGTCCTGTGA